AATAAACCAATACGAAAAAATATATAACAACAACAGTAAATTTATTTTCTAATGTTTCAAAATATTGTGAACGCAGGTGTATTTCTTTCCCATCTATTTTAATACCCTTTATTTTTATGCTAAACGCGATTGCTATTTGACCGAGGAAATTACGATTAAAATCACAAAATATGGAACAGACCTTTCCACAAGCTCCGTTTTCGATCAGATTATCGTGCATATCGCCGATGTTATTCATTTCTGATACTTTAAGACACCAAAAGCAGTAATCAGTCATTTTGTCACGTATATTTTCACAACAGTCGATACCTTGGGATATTGATTGATCTCTAATCATGGAGGCGAAAAGAGTGTTGTACCTAAACGGTCATGCGCCACATATATTTAAGGGCGGGCAATTTGGAGTTTTATTTCAAATTCTTTTGGGATTGCAATATTTTGTACGCTGTAAATGTATTTTTATCATTTTATTACTTGAAATTGAACACAGATCTTTAAAACCAGAATATTGCATTAAAACGAAAGTTATCAAAAAGAACAGTATTCCCTTTAATACCACACTTGGTCAATATTTTTAAAAATTCTTACAAAAATGGAATTGAAAACAAGAAAGAACTTATAGATTCTAAATTCTTAGCTCCAATCATCCAAAAATCATTGAATGTTAAAATGTTTTTATTTTCTTTTTTTTCAGTGCAGGGATTATGAATCAATTTGTGAGTGAACATAACAAGAGACCAGACACTGATGTAGAAGATGGTTCGATAACAAACTCATATTTCTCTTTTTAAATCTGACAATTTTCAAAGCTCAATGAATAAGAAGGGAAGAATGAGCAAAACTGATTGATTGTTGTAAGATTATTTTAATCATATGAGACGTCACTGTTTGCAGGTTAAGGGCTTCACATTTAGACTTTAACTAGGAAATCAGGGCCATTGAGTAGTGGGGCTTGTGATGGTACATATTGTTGTTGGCGAGCAATATGCACCTTTCCACAACGCACATATTCTCGTCCATAGACATAAATTGTCTCCGGCTAAAATATTTGCCTACCCTTATATTGCCACCTTGAAGTTAGAGTATTTTTTTTTTTTTTAGTTTTGCAAATGTAACTGATGTGTAAATCACACAGACTTGTCACGGTTGCATATTTCATAAAGTGCACAAAAGCGCAACAGTTTTAGTTTCTCTGTGCATATCAATACGCTTGAGTATGCACGAAAATGGTATTCAATTACAAAATTATATCATTCTTCAAGTTTCATGACATTGCATTTTCACTAATACACAGTTCTTTTTGTTACCAACAACTGTCATTTTTATTTATATTTAAAGAAAAAGTTGCAAAAATACTATATTTAATTTAGAAGTTGATAAGGGAGATTGGTTCAATGAACTTGAGTTAAATTAACTTATAGAAAAGTGTCAAAACCTCTTGATCGATCGACCGATAGACCCCAGTAAAATTATTATTCAAACGATGCTTTTTGCAACAAATTATGCAAATGTTCACAGAGGTTAGTGTCGTTGACTACAATATGTGCCAGTATTTAAAGTACATTTTGTCGACTATTTTGCAGGAGAAAAAAATGCTCTTCTCTGCCTGTGTCAAAACGCACTTTTGGACGGCATGTGTAGTACGTGATGGTAGGCATATATTGTAGCCGGCGACAATATATACAGGTCGACGAAATTACTGTCATAAGGTACTTTATCGAGCCAATGCCTGCCGTGACACTAAGCTTCGGTTTTTATTTTGCTTCACACACACAAAAAAGACAAATCATACTTGATCAGACAGACACGGGCAAATTATTGAACTTTTCATGTAACTATGCTGATACATTCTAGATCTAAATGCATCACCACCTTAAAAAAAAAATAAAATGTAAAAAAAAAAAAATTTGAATAACAGAATAATTTAAAACAAAATATATAAAAAAAAAGTATTATAAAAATATTGAATATAAATGAAGAATATGGCATATAATCTTAACTTAATTAGAAAAGAATAGATGAAGACATGACTGTTGCGAAATAAAATAGTTTGATAAGGGGCACTCGTCTTTACCGACCTTTAACCAAAGGCAGAGTTAATATGTACCACACAGTCGATCAGCATTGCATTATATTATCTTTATGCATGCATTTTAACACTGATGTGATTATTGCATCTCATGCTTAATTATTGATTGTGTACTAAGAGAATATTACTATATCTGTCTTTTGTTTGCAGAATACAGATTTCATTGCTGTGCTGTCATTTTGATCCATTGCTTTTCATATTTGCAAGAAGAGTCCTAATCGATAAAATAAAATTTACATGAGTCATTTTTGATGAAGGTCTATTTACAAGTACGCTATGTACTTTTATTCCTTTCCATATGAAAATGATACATGCAAAGATATCGTTTTAGACTCTTTTGGTCGTTTTCACTAAAGTATAGTATAACATTCCTTATATTAACGGTTAATTATAAAAAGAATTGTATTTGTTTTTATTGTTTTTTTTTTCAAATAATTAAAATATTGGTTGTCTATAAGGAATATAAAGCAAAAAAGTCAATTCCCAAAGCCTACTGCACTTAAAATGTCCAGAAAGCTTTTCCCCGAACAGACAATATTTTCTGTAGAACATAGGAACCACAAAGGCATTTGAATGAGTACTATTGAAAATGATGCTCGAGGAGTATAGAGTATATATAAATTAACTACTTAATTAAACAATAGAAAACATGTTGTATGTCTGTAATTTATAGTTTTTCATTTGTTAATTGTACACTTGTCTTCTCTGTATGATTAATTTATTTTTACTTTTTTTTAAAGACAGGAGATTTGTATAGGATGACTATTATTAATTGTAGTTTTTAGGCACTGCAATAATAAAAGTTCATAAGATAAACAATATTTACAGGAAAAATGCAAGGTTCAATAAAATACACAATACATGAACATTAAGGGACACAATTATCAAACTCAAGATCAAACATTCCCTTCAAGCTTGACTCAAAGACGACTTACTGGTAGGTACTTTAATATTTATTAAAGGTTGTCTTTAAGCCACCTTTAAACTATTTTAAGTAATATAAACACCATCATTTATCAAACCTTTAGAGATTGTTCTATCTGACGTATTCGTATAAGTATGCGTATCAAGGTATGAAAGGCATCTCTATTCCTATGTCTAAACTATTTAACAAAATTTCCATCGTTATTTATTAGGTTTTTAGACAGCCCCATTCATAAGGAAATAATATTTGGTAACTTTTGTAATAAAACAAAAATTTATCAGGCTGTTGTAAAACCCTACCATTTCGTGGGGAATTTAAAAAAAAAGAACATAAATTAAAGAACAAGGTACACTTAGGGTCATATAAGGCCTATTTTCAGAGGTTGGAAATTTTTTACCCTAATACTCTCTAGGACATGGGCTCTCTGTATATAGTAATATTATCCGTGTAACATTGATAGTTTTTGAGATACAACGTAAGAAAGTTGACATGCATAATTATGAAGCTGTCATCCTAAATACCAAGGAAAGCTTTCTTCTCCAATATTCAATCGAATAAAGTAATGCAAAACCTTTTCTTGAAATTGATACCCGAGTAGACAATAAACAAATTTGCAATTTTTGAAACAATAAACACATGTAATCATTTGGACTACCCGAGATGTTAAATATTTACCGAGCCCAAAGTGGGAGGTAAATATTGTATTTATTTCAAAAGTTGTCAAATCATCATTTTGAATTTGTAGAAAAACTGTCAATGATTTTTTTATTATATCACTCAATGATTTAATGATATTTGTTTGAAAACCTTGCAACTTTCTTTATTGGCTGTTTATGTCTGCTGAAGTCCTCACCAAACCCAGTTAGAGATGCAGGGGCCCATTTTACAAAAGAACTTAAGACTTATCAAGATCAAAAACTTTTGATGATTGTAAAATCTTGCACAATTAATGCTTTTATATATAAATTAAAAATTACCTGCATAAAGACTAAAACCATTTTCTCAATTAGGTAAAAAAGAAAGTTATTTGCAAAATTACATTTGGTCTTGGTCATAAGTTCTTTTGTACAATGGGTCCCAGGATCTTATAAGACAACAAAAATAACATAACCAATTGTTCCAATTTGGAAGTTTTCAATATATTTTTGGTTCGATGTAAAAATTAAATGTTATATTCACCAGGAGGGTCTAGTGCAGGTGAATTTAACCAAGTTTTCAGAATGCTGAACCTCAGCCAGTCATTTAGCTAGGGATCATTCTATCATGAATAAATCTGATTGTTAAATAAAATATGTCCTAATCATGAACAAAATAGACAAGCATATAAACAGTGGGGTAAAGGGAAATAAAGGAATCCCTAATATATTTTATTTCTTCTGTACCAGACAATGAGACACAATCATAAAAAATTCATAAAGTGTTTGAAAACATCTGTTGTATCATTCATTGACATGCACATGCATTAGGTTTCTCTATAGCTAGAACTCAAGAATATTTCATTCCAAAATATTGGGACTCTGGAAAAGTCTCTAGTGATTCATTTTTTTTTTTTTTTTTTTTTTTTTTTACACATTTTTGGTCTCCATGGGTCAATATGCATACGGTAATTCATTTAATATTGTAACTCTATCATAAAATGATTAGCTTATTATCTTAAATTGCAATTTGAAAAATTGTAGAAATAAATCAATAATTCATTATCAATATACTTGCATTCAGAGGAGTGTACTCAAGAGTATCACACATATTCCAGTATTTTATAATCACTGAATTTTTACCAGACACATGTAGTGTGATAACACTACCCAATCCATGGTGAACATTACAACTGAATATTCATCTTCACAGGTGTTGATATTCATAAGCCTAAACAAAATATCTTGTATAACTAAATTTCACGAAAATTCACCTATAAAACAGGTATATGTACATGTAATTATCATCTGGAGTTACTGGTTACTGTACATTATTCAAATTAAACACTGGTTAAATAAAACTTTTCAATAACAGAATAATACATTTTTAGATAAAAAATCATAAACAGAACAGAGAGGCTGATCCTTCATATCGTAATACTAGAAATTGCATATGGAGAGTATGATACTAACAATAATTCTTAAAAGTTTTGATTTATTATGCAATGTTGAATGATGAGTCTGAGATTCACTTTCACTCCTCTTCTGTTATGAAACATCTTTCTTCATCCTCACTCTCTGATTCATCAATTGGGAGTGCAGCAGCATCCTCAACCAAACTACACCGATCACGCACACCACAGACACCACTCCCCTCATGACGAGCAAGAGCCAAGAACCAAATCACACTGGTAACGTGAGCACACATGCCCACAACTCTTGCGCCAACTTTACATTTGCAAAACCAGGATTTGATACTGACGTCATCATATCTAATCCAAAGTAAGTATTTCTTAGCTGAAATGTGTCTACTTTGAATCTTTGCACAGAGGATACCAGCACAATCATTACTGATGAAAATTTCATACTTTCCTTCCATCAAATGCTCGTGTGTGTATGACTTTGCCAATCTGATTTGGTAAACACCAAAGGTCAACTGGCGTATTTCCTCCTCTGTCAAACGAGGAAAGACCACATCATGGGAGTCGATCCTCTTCCATTTCATGTTCCGCTTCTCTAAACCTGTAAATTTTATTTTTAAATGGATGTTCAATTTATTCTTCAAAGATTTTTTATATTCATATTTGAAAATCTTGCCACATCAATTGTAAGGCAAATCATATTTAAAATGTAAGATGATGCTTACCTCTCGTCTCAACATAATCCTTTAACTCATTCACGCCATTTGCAAGAAATCGCATTTTAGCAGCCATCGCAACATCTTCCTCCTCCATTCCAGTGCTCAAGTCTGGTCTAAACTTGTTGCAGATTGCACTCACTATGCGGACATAATCTCCAATGTGAGGTATTTGAGTATTTGGGATAGTCCTGCTCAAGTAATTCCATGTCTTTAGCCTGCCATTTACTGACTCAACAACCCACCTGAGCTGTAACACAAATACATACTATGAATTCATCAACCAAATATATATATATATAAAAGTCTGTTACATCCTTATTTTCTAATTCATTATTACAATGTATACTTAAATATATAGATAACATTTTAAGTTTAGAATTGCAAAAAATGTGACCTTCAACAGATTAAATGAATAATTATATTGCTGGTATTTTATTTTCAAGTACCTTGGTCACAAATCTGGTTGCATTGGCTTCTTCTGTGGTGTGTTGCTTTGAATGAGAAGTAAGGAAAGATGGCATTTCAACATGTATCCCCATGTCATCTAGCAAAGCTTCTGCATCCCGGAAACCCCTGTCGACGATAAATATATCATCTTCTCTGACCCATTTCCTCATGTCCTCTACATTTGTTTGGATCATGTGTTTTAATATCTTTGCATCAGAATTTTTGGAATCTGCCAGATAAGGACCTAATACAGAAATTATATATCCACTAGTTGAAACAATGATCATAGGCTTGACTAAAGGCCGGTGTTTATGAATGCTGTAGGAACGACGTGAGAAAGAAAAGTTCCCACTTTTTTGGAGATATACGTATGTTCCATCAAGAACAAGAATGGCTGGATTTTCTGTCATGCTGCAAAGGAGTTCCTTGGCAAGGGGACGAGTATGGTGATTAATGACGTCCTCCCTTGTTATATGAGAAAACCCCAAATGCTTTGACACAAAATCACCCATCAAAGCATTTTTTGCAGATATAACAGCACGTCGAACCTGAAAACAGAAAACCCAGTTTCAATTAATGTACATGCAATATATGCATTTTTAATTTTACATGTAATAATGTAAAAAAAAAATTTAAATGTAGTGTTTCACTCAGCATAACATGTACATACCTGCCATTTTTTCATGCCAAATAAGGTTCCAAGTAGTTGATTACTCAAACCACATCTGAGTTTTGTCAACAATAACGCCACACATGTTCTGGTACTTCTATTCTTGGATGCTCTTAAGTCGGTCTCCACCAAATACGTCATCAATTCATCAAACTGATCCTTTGTAATTCCTGTGAGATTGTAGTAATCTTCACTTTCCATTCCATGTGAATCATCAAAATTCAGTCTCTTGTTCTGATTCTGGATAGCTACCTCCCTGGTTTGTCTTAAAACTCCTACAATGGTGGTCCTGTTAACATTTGAGACAGAACTGGTTTGTTTCAGCAGATGTAATGCCTCAGTGTTGAACTCTCCATCAGAAATATGCTTAGGACAGCATCTAGAACCAGGTGGAACAAATGTTTCTTTTTGGATGAATACATTTAAACGAGTATTTTCTGGAACTACCACTAGCTTTGGCCCCGGTTTTTTACAGATGACACAGTTGGCGTGGCTCTTAGAGGTACTTGGAATGGACAGTATTACTGAAGGTGGACTCTGCACACTCTGCTTTGATGATGTTTTTGGCATTTTGTTTGGCTCAGGGCTGTCACAAATAGTATTCCTTGTTGATTTTGTTTCACACATGTGACGACACTTCCTGCACAGCATGCTGTCATCAGAAACATCCATACAAAGTCTTCTCTTAATGAAGTCTGCATGCTCCTTCTTTATCCTGTATCTGTCCTGTTGTGATGTTCATTTACAGCACAGCAAGCAGGGGTAAAACTTAGGCATTCTAGAAGAGAAGTATATATACATAAAAAATGGTCATTAATTACAAGCAGTTACATTATTGTACAAGTATGATAATGTCACATGACATTTGAACTTTACATGTGTTAATGAAATTTATGTAGAAAATTTTCAGTGAAATTCAATTATAATATTTGATATGACAATAAATGGTTAATTATGAGGAAATAAGGATTCAATCTAAACATCCAAATGAAACCTTGCAAGGACTGCATATAATAGACAATAAGATGTTATCAAAATTTTTTTGTCATACCTGTGTTTCCTATTGCATCATCATCACCATGGAAATAAACTCCAACCTCCGAACACTTCAGGGTAACACAGGATCATGATTTCTGTAATAAAAATGTACAATTTCCTTTAAGGCTACAAAATATTTGTTAACATTTATCAGTATTTACATTTTTAGTTAAAATGTAAAATACTTGAATGAAATTAGTCTAGTCATTTTAATATAAAAAAGGCTAAAATGTTGAGCCTGATAAATATTTGAAAAGTTAACAGAGGGCTAAACAGACATACAGACAAACACAGAAAGCTAAACGATCAGAGAAGCTCACTTAATTCTTTAGATCAGGTAAAATAAAATACTTTATCTCAAATTACCTAGTACAATAGCAATTTAACATTCTAAAATATAAGGTACAATTATATTTTCTATCGAGAGAGAGAGGAAGAGCAAACACCTTGGGAGAATGCAGACATGTTGGTTTTACTGGTACTTGTGGTGTACTATGGGGGGGGGGGGTCAAGGGTCCGGACCCCCCCTGGAATTTGCAGAGTTATTAAAAATATATACTGTTCAAGCAAATAAAAAATGACTTTGGACCCCCCTAGAAAACGTGGACCCCACCATCACCACCACGAAACAGGCGTTTTTCACGTTTGGGAAGTGGATTTTACGTTTTTTTTGTTTTTGTTTGTTTGTTTGTTTTTTTTTTTGCTTGTCAAGAAATTTTGGGTTTGGAATTTTTTTTTGACTGGGGTGGACCCCCCCCCCCCCCCCCCGGATCCACACCTGTTAATAACATTACTATTGCTTCAGTTCAGGGGCTTGTATTCATCTGATTAAACAAGATTAAACAAACAGGTATAGAGAAAGCTGACAAGGACTAAAACTGAACATGAAATGGTTGATATACACAAATGCTCGAGTGTGGCAGGTTGGCTTTTAACAAAATAAATGACTACATATACATGTAACTGTCAAAATGCAAAGCTCTGGTCAGAAGTTGATAGTCTTACTCTGGTTACTGCATATGTGGTTGGGCAGTTCCCCTTATACCTAGCAGAAACATGCCACATATGCCTTAAATATGCTTGTACCTACCTTGCTGTGATAGTTTTGCAGGAATTAATATCCATGAGAATTTTTCAAATAAATTTTAACACAAATAAAAAAACATACATCACTAGACAAATATTTCTACAATATTGCCAAATACAGAAACTCTCCTTGGTTCAGAATTTATTGCGTGAAGGAGACATACTGACAGTTCTTCATACAGTAGCAAATACGACACCCCCCTCCTCCCCCCCCCCCCCCCCCCCAAACTCCCAATCAATCTTCGGTCTCGTGGCATAAAAATCTTACAGGCTTGAATCAAGTTGGACAATTATTTTTATAAAGTTCAATTCAGTTATTTAATTTCTGAGAAATTCTCTTGTGTAATTTGACGGTATATTTTCAAATAATTACATCGACGTTTACAAATCGACTACTGCTCGACTTTTCACATACATGTATATGTATGCACCTAGTGTGTCACACGTTTAGCTTTTGACTGCCAGAGTTAAGTGATAAATTTTTGCAATGATAATTAATATATATATAAATATTTTTTTTTTTTTAATGAAACCCCCCGCACATGTCAAAACATAAAAGCAGGGGTTTGAGTCGGAGGAATCTCGGATTAGCATGCATGTTTTGTAGATATATTTGTTTTCAAGTAATTGTCAATCAATCCTTACCTAATACAATCACATAGTAATAGTCGTTTTGGGTCTATCGGCAATCTTTACACACACCTAGTCACCCAAACACATCACAGACACAGTTCATGTTCACAATCTGTCAAATTTCATCAGTTGTCAAACTTGTCGTCTGGTACGCTACGAACTTTTTTTCCAGAAACCGCCGAACGAAATTAAAAATTCCGAATTATAATGATTATGATTTGCATTCATTTAATTAAATATATTTTAAAAATTTGAATTATTGTTACATTTGTACTTTGGGATAGAAGGCAACATTGCAGATAAAATTGTTACACATTTTAGCGATTTTCCATTAAATATGTAGGCCATGAGACTTGTTCCGGAAATGCCAAATGTTTGAATTAAACTATGAGCACACAGAACGCGATTGACGAAATAGATTTTTTTCGGCTAGTCATAGCAATAACTTTGACATATACAAGTATTATCCATCGCGTTGCCTGTGCACATATTAAAATATTTACAAATGTGTGCACAAATTCATAGATTTTCATCAAAAAGTGAAATCCGGGTAAATTTTGGAATTTATAATTCTGATATGTGACGTTTTGGCGCCATTTCCCATGCATGTTTGAAGTACGGGGGTTGTCCCAAAATAACTTCGAAGGGAAATGACAGATTAGCTGATTCTTTATTTTTTTTAGTTTTCCTAGGCCAAAATTATATACTAAGTGTATTTTGTTCTTTGTATGTGTTTTAATTATATCGTTTAAAAATTCAATTGTTTCAAAATATCTATCGTACTTCTCTCTCTCTCTCTCTCTCTCTCTCTCTCTCTCTCTCTCTCTCTCTCTCTCTCTCAGGATATTTCATTGATTCATTTTTTAATTATATGGCATAACAGTTAATATTTAGAGAGTCCCTTCGATTTAATTACATAATTTGCTTCCAGACTCTCACCAGTGTATGCTTAAAAATGTCAGTTTAACCAACACACCGGCACAGACACAAACTTTAATTGGCGTCTGTTGAGTTTCTTTCATTTCTTTCTTTTTTCAATGAACTACTTGACAGATACATGTATGTTCCCCCCTCTCCAGCGAATATCCTGTGTATACTCAAACAACTTGATTTTGCTTCGATATGATTTCCCTCCGATGGTACAGTATTAACTTGTAAAGGCTCCTTAGCAACAAAACACGGGTGATGAAATGAAAATGCAAGTTGAGAATCTGATTTTCTTTTTAGTTCTCTTGTTGTTGTACATATTAACAAATAGTAATGTTAACGAACAGTATTCAAACTCAGAAGTCCATTCAATAAACGTAACCTTATTCGATAAGAAAAGAACATCAGGCTTAAAAAATTCAAAACAATAGTTCTCTCTCAATCTGCCAAGCTACCTTGTCTTTTACTAAGTATACCTTTTCTTTTACTAAGCTATCTTGTCTTTTACTAAGCTACCATGTCCATCCAGCCGATTTTTTTTCTGCGTTTTTGCCAAGATCAAGGCCTGTGCGAGTCAATTCAGAACGCAAATTAAAAAAAAAACTGAAGAGAAGAGGTTGCTTCAATATAGCAGAAAAAAAATTCTACATAATGACAGATTGCTTTTGCAGACATGGTCAATGTATCGTCCATAAAACTTGCCAAATGATGACTTCAAACGAGACTGTTGATATCCTTGTTTCATCAACTTGTTTATCAATAGCTTGCCTCGTTTTAGAAATTGTTCGTACGTAGAGCATGCACTTGTGTATCTAATAAACTAAGAGACATAAACCCTATATGTAGGTGATAAACGTATTGCTACATACGTAAGGGAAGGTGATAAGTTAAAGTCAACACATTTACCACAAAGTTTTGTTACGTTACCATTAATGTTTTTTTTCTAGTAAAATATCAATGAAACAGATTTGTGAGACTCTGTGGTCCTTTATTTCAAGCTCACTTAAATATATCGAGTCGCCAGCGTGGCGCAGTGGTTAGAGCGTTCGCTCTAGAGTCGCGGAGTAAGGAGTTGATCCTTTCGTCGCGGGTTCTAATCCCACTGCGGGACGTGGAGACCGGTCCTTTGGATGAGACCGTATAAACCGAAGTCTCGTGTCGCAGTAGGTGCTGGCACTAAAAAGATCTCTCACTGCTCAATGGCCATGAGTGCCGAATATAGGTCAAAATTTGTAGCTCTCCACCGGCAAGTGGTGGCGTCTCCATATGAGTGAAAAATTCTCAAGAGGGACGTTAAACAACAAACAACAAAATATAAATATATCGATTCGACATATGAATGGAAGTAACTTTCGTTTATTGATAATAAGTCGTCGAAGTACTTGTGTGTACAATCAGAATGTTTTTAACAAAATAATTTTGAAAATGACCAATGACAAGGTACGAAAATTTACGAGTTGTATTTTTATTGAAAAGGCAGCTGTCGAAGTTGTAAAAATGCCTGAACTTTAATTTATCGTGGGGAATGGTTGTATAATTTGTCGAAAAGTCGAACGTTTTGATGTTATTGATTTTGGTAAAATTTTGGGATTTCAAATATTCTAAAAGTTCCTTGGATCTTTTAAGTATCCACATATGATTTACACAACTTCTCGAACATATTGTTGTACAGTACTCCTGAAGTTTCTTCTTTGCTGCCGTTAATATTTTATTGAGGAGTAAAAGAAAATTGAACCAATTGAGAGGGATAACAGTGAGTGATTACGTCAAAGCAAAGTAAATGTAATTCAATGTCTAGGTAAAAAAAACTCAATGTCTAGATTGACAAAATAACAAAAGCTTAATTTAATTGTAGAAGAAAAGAACTCTCTAAATATATTACAATATTTCTGATGAATTCCGGTGCGGATCGAGGCTTTCCACACACGAATGAAAATTTTATTTATTTTTTTTTTTTTGGGGGGGGGGGGGTGGGGGTGTAAATATTTCTTTTAAATTAAAGATAGTATAAAATATTTCTT